GAAATCCCATTTAAAAAGAAGGATCATTGCAATTTTCCATTTAGAAAAATATGTAAAATATATTATAAATGCTTTCCAAATTTTTTCCCCATAGAACACAAAGCATGCACCCTAGAGAAGCCCTCCACCAGCTGTCACTGCTTCCGTGACTGGAGACACATCTTAGAGACAGCTGAGGGTTAAAGGAGGGATGCTAAGTAGAGGCTGAGAACCACGGTGCAGGCCTGTAGAAGGAAAGGAACCAGATCAGAGAATCATACACAGGAGATGGGTCCAGCAGCACCTCTTATCTGAGGCCTTACTTCCTGTGGTTTCAAGTGCTGTTACTCAGCGGTAGTTTATAAATATTAATGCAAAAAGATGCTTTGAGAGAGAAAATGGAGAGAGAGAGAGAGAGAGAGAGAGAGAGAGAGAGAGAGAGAGAGCTTTCACTACAGAACGCTGCTGTGATTGGCCTATTCATTATTGTTGCTACTCTCTACTGGGTCTAATTTACAAATTGTGCTATATTATTTATACATGTATGTTTGGGAAGGAACATAATATAGTGCAATTCTGCACCATCTGTAGTTCCAAGCATCCACTGGAGGTTTAGAGCCCCACTAGAGAGTCCTGTGACTAAGAGGAGATAATTTTACACGGAGAAAAATAACCCAGATAAAGAGAAAGGACACAGGTAGAAAAGCAATGCACCTTAAGAACCGACAGTGAACCTGTGATTCAAGTAAGAAAGGTCCAGGTTCAGTCTGGATTCCAAGCTCCGTTGTCAATGTAGCCCAGTATACACCATAATAACTGCCAAAGGAACCTAAACATGAGTGAGAGCTAGACAGGGTAACGTGAAAAACTACTCAGATTTCATCTGAAATATCAGCGGTGCTCAATGTTTATTAGATTACTTTCCACATGACACTTGGGACTTCTAGTCAACCAATCTTAACTATGACTAGATGTGAACAGGTCGATGACATTTACTTCATAAAATTACTGAGCTCCCAGGTGTGAATGTGTTGTCCCCATTGCTCAGAGTGGAAATGAGAGGGAGTGGGGAGATCTGGGAGATCTGAGAGAAATCTTGTGTGAAACCTCAAATGGAGGCTAAGGGAGTCGTGAGCTTTTTCCTCTTTCCTTTGACTCTTGGTCCTGGAGGTGCATCAGAGAGGAATGATTTGCCTCAGCATCCCTAGTCTTGTGGAAGAGCTGCAGTAAACGTGGATACTAATTATTATCTGTTATGAGGGTTCTGTTAGAATTCCTAGCGTGTGCTGTCCAGTAGCCAGGCAAGATGCTTAGTCATCCTAGGGCCTCACAGCCTACGTAATTCGTGCACTGAGTGACACGTAATCTGCATGCAGGGTAATCACGTAATTTATGCGCATGTGTGGTGTAGCTATATAAGCCCATATGTGTGGTGATATTTTAATTGTGCTGAAATGTGATTTTATTTGTATGTTAATAAATAAAGTTTGCCTGGAGATCAGAGGTCACATAGCGAGGTCACATAGTGAGCCATAAGCAGAAGTCCGGCAGTGGTAGCACACGCCCTTAATCTAATCACATGGCAGGCAGAGTCTCTGTGTGGTCAAGGACACAGCCAAGCATGGTGACACGAGCCTTTAAAACCAGTACCAAGCATAGAGACCTGGAGGTCTGTATAGACAGGTAGTGATGAGGAAGTCATGTGGCTGGGCTTACAGCCAATGAGAAAGAAGAACAGAAAGGCAATAAAAACACAAATCAGACAGGAAGAAGCTTGCTCTGGGGAACTGACGGTGGCAAGGTGGTAAGATAAGGTAGTTGTGGCTCTCTGATCTCTTTGGCTATTACCTCTGTATTTGGCTCCATGTTTCTTATTTACTAAGATTGTTTAGAATTTCATCTACTTGGTGCCCAACATGGGGCAAGAATTTCCACCTAAAAACTGAGAAAGAAGATTCTAAAACAGAGCTAAAAACAGCTTCCTAGTTGTCTCTCTCAAGTTAGCCACAACCTGTGGGCTTGAGCTACACTATGGCGGGTTCTACAGCATGGCAGGAAGGAGACGCTGACAGCTGCTGCCACCATGAGAAATAAGATGTAAAGTACTGGTAAGCCACAAGCCACGTGGCAACTTATAGATTAATAGAAACGGATTAGTTTTAGATACAAGAACTGGATAGCAAGAAGCCTGCCACAGCCATACAGGTTATAAGTAATATAAGTCTCTGTGTGTTTACTTGGGTCTGAGCGGGACTGGAGAAAACTCCAGCTACACATATGTGCATGCTTGGGGAGGGGAGGGATGGAGACCTATAAAAGCGGGTCCCACCTTCTCTCTCTTCCTGCAGGTCATTCCATAGGCCTATGCACACCCCCTCTCTATTCCCTTAATAGACTTATAGTGGGTTTTGTTGTACCTTGTGGCTTCTCTTGTATGGTGAACAGTGCCGCTTAGTAAATAACATTGCACTGCTTAATAAATAACAGGTTCTTTGTCAGTTAAAGAGTTAAAAGACAGAAAGAGTGGCAGAGGGCAAAGTGAAAGCTTATTGGTAAGTATTCCAGAAATCTCAGAGAGAGCTGGGAGACTACCCACTCAGAGGAGGTTTAGGATTTTATGTGGGTTTAGAGTGCCCTACATGGTGATTCCCTTCCCTTCCATTTTCTATTGGTCCAGTGGTGTCTGTGCGCTCCTTCTGTAGAGGGGGTTGGTTGGATCTCTGTTTCTGTAATTGGTGATTGGCTAGGGTAAGAGAGGGTGGCCCAACTTCTGCTGTGCTGTAGTAGGTACAGAGAGAGCCACAGGGGGCAAGGTGAAGCAGGCATGTCCCAGAGAAACAGAAACTTACTGCTGGGGCGACAGTGCTGGAAGGATGGAACTTGCTGCCTATTGCTGGCAGCAAAAATCATTTAAAAAGCCCCCCCCCATGGAGGTTGGTGTGCTCCCCACTCTCCTACCCTGGGGTTACCATGTTCACTATTCTCACCTGTCTGAAGAGCCCCCCAGCCTCACATGGACTGGGTAAGCACCCAGGAGTGATATAGGGGGTCACATTCAGTTTCAGCTCCTTGAGGAGCCTCTGTGCTGATTTCCAAAGTGGTTGGACTAATTTTGTTTGGCCCCAGAAGCGGGCTACCTTCTTCACACAGCTTTCATCAGTGTTGTTATTTTCGGTTTTCTTAAATTTTTCTAAGGGGTTTTCATCACTATTTCATTAGTGGGGGCCTTCTCCCCCCACAAATCTTCTTTTGTTCCAGTCTCCTGGGATCCTTTCTAGTTTTCTGGACTTTCCCCATAGTTTTTCCCACCTAGATAAACACACTTCATAGTTAAAGGCCAGTATCCACCTATGAGAGACAGACAGCAGACAATACTTGTATTTCTTAGCCTGGCCTACCTTGGTTAATATAATGTTTTTCAACCCCATCCACTTTCCTGTTCATTTCATTTTTTTAGGCAGAGTGAAATGTAGCAGGAATCTTAACAGTTCTTATTAATAAAATCAAACCTGAGGCCAGTTATTGGGTGAATACTGGAAGATCAGAGAGACAGAACAAGCCACAGCTACCTCACCTGGCCAACTTCTCAGCTGATCTTGGTTCCTCAGACTGGAAGCCTCTGTGTCCTCATATCCGAATGGTTCTCAGCTGAACTGTGCTGCTCAAAACCTAAAAGCTTAACCAGCCAAAAGCTTCTAGTTTCTGGTCTTCATGCCTTATATATCTTTCTGTTTTTGCCATCACTCCCTAGGATTAAAGGCGTGAGTCACCATGCTTGGCTGTATCCTTGAACACATGGATTTCTGCCTCTGGAATGCTAGGATTAAAGGCGTGTGCTACCACTGCCTAACTTAAGTATCTAGTGGCTTTTCTCTTCTCTGACCCCAGATAAGTTTATTAGGGTACACAGTATTTTTGGGAACACAATACCACCACAGTAAAATTCCATTGCACGTGTGTGTGTGTGTGTGTGTGTGTGTGTGTGTGTGTGTGTGTGTGTGTGTGTTTGCCAATATTTCCTTCAATTTTCGTATTTCGATAGTGTTCTTTCTCTCAAGATTGCTTATTATTGCTTTAAAAATGTTTACAATTGAATGTCAATTTACATTTATTTATTTTTGAAGTAGGCTTTCACTGGGCTGGCCTTGAATTCATCAAAATCCCCTGCCTCTGCTTCCTGCACACTGGGCTTAGAGGCGTACACCCTCACTCCAGGCTCATATCCACCTTCTCCTTGAATTACGAGGTTCTTCTTTTTCTTTCAACTGTGGAATTGTGTCTATGACCATTCAGGCCTCATCACTCATTTTCCAGCCTGTCTGCACCGCCTCGGTTTGCTTTTGGTGTTTGCTCTTTCTGCATTGTGATCAGAAAGGGCCCGGGCATCCCCTGCTGCATCACTTACCTGAGGTGACTTTTCTGTCCTGTATCCATGTTCTCAGTCTGTGCCTCAATGCCTTCCAAGGTCATGTCCTCAGTGAAATCACACTTAACATGGCAGTGTGGTTGTTCACGGGTGACCTTCACTCTACCCTAGTGAACTCGTGCCTAACATTACAATCTGTTGGTTCATGGGTGGCTTCAACTTACGGGACCTATCCAGCTTCTTTCTTTCTTTTCTGAGGAATGTATGTGTAACTAAAGTCCTTTAAAATCACACTTGATCTTAGTCAAGAGGCAGAGAAGATGTTCTTTCAAAATGCAAGATCCATTAAGAGGTGATGAGCAAACCAGAGACCTCAGTGGTGGCCGTTGTCTCTGCCACAGCATGCAGAGAACACAAAAGAAAACCTTCTCAGTGTATGATTCAATATGTGGAGGAAAATGTATTCTACAGCTTTTTTGAAGTTTAGCAAACAAAGCATATATATATATATATCTATATATATATATATATATATATATATATCTCAAATCTTATAGATGTATTAGAACTTTCTAAGTTTATGTATGAGTTGGCTCTGCTGTGTTGAGGCCTATGTGTGGCAAATCAGTCAGATCATTCTCAAACCCTCTTTGTCTTGTGGATAAAGATATGTGACTCATAAAGACACAGGCATGATATTCTACACCCGGAGCCTCAGAACACTCAGCTATGCTACCTCCTGACACACAGAAAGTTCTCATGTATTGCTTCTCATTCATAGCAGTTTTGAGAGTTACATCTTTTAAAAAACATCTTATTTTTATTTTAAATGAATGGCTGTATTGCCTGCATGTATGTCTTTGCACATGTATGCCTAGTGCCCATGGAAGTCCAAAACCAGGCATTGAATTCCCTGGAACTAGAATTACAGAAGGTTGTGAGCCATCATGTGGGTGCTGGGAACTGATCCCAAGTCCTCTGCAAGAACAATCAGTGATCTTAACTGCTGAGCTGTTTCTCCAGCCTCAAGAATTACATATTTTAACAATGGGAAATAACTTTTATTTTATTCTTGATTATGGATATTGACCTTGAATTGTACTAGCTCTGATTTAATATTACCTCTTAAAGTCTGTTAATATTACTAGTTAATATCTTGTTGATATACTAGTATGCATTTTTTTTGTAACTGCCAAGTTCTGCCTGGCTTCAGAGATTGACTTGCCCAGAGTGATAAGGGAATGAAATGACAGACATACATACAAAAAAAAGGCTGGAATTGGATGGGCTGTGCTGCCTCAGACAGAGGGCACCAAGAAACTAGGAAACCTAGAAACACTGTACATTTATTTTATACATTTCAATCAAGGAGGTTTGTGGTGTGCAGTCAATCACAGAAGTCGTAGCTGGTCTGCCTGGGAGGCCTCTGTAGGAAGCATCTCAGGTTGCAGTCATCTGGGAAGAGGAGGCTGCAGCTGCTAGACTTTGTACACACTGGGCAATCGTTGGCAAACACTTACACCTGAACCAAAGGAAGGCTTTGCCAATTCCTGAGCCTGATGCAGGGAAGGCTTTGCTGTACTCATGGTCCTGAGGCACTGGGGTCCTTGACATGGTCGTACTCATGTCAACAACACACTAACTTAGGACTTCATTTGCTTCTTACACATAGCTAGTTATATATTTTGAGATATGAGTATTTTAGTAGTTAATAGATTTTGTTATAAACACTATGCTGAGTGTTTTGTCTTAAAAATTGTATTTATAACATGGCATACTCAGTCTCTATGTCTGACTTTGATTGTGCTTCCTCCTTCCAGAAGCTTGCTAGTGCTCAGTTTTTGTCCACCCTTGCAGAGGTAAATGAAAACCTTTTGTGCAGTATATGAACACGTGAGCATGCACACCCAATTCTCTTTCTCCTTGTTTATTATTAACCTTTGACTCTGTAGATTGCTACTTTTGCTTCTAAGCACCTAATATTTTCTTCGTTCTTTTTAAATGATTACATACGACTCCATTTTACATGCAGGTGCAATTTATTTCACGGTCTGATTAATGCATCTTTAGATTCCTGACAATCCTTGAATTTAAAAACAGTTGCTTATATTCATTCCCAATATGGCTAACACATTCTAGTTCGAATTCTAGAACTGGAATTATAGCATAGAGGGCACTTGAGATTTCCAGTTTGGAGAATGTATTGTTTTCAAACCTTGAGTATTTAAGAAACTACACATTATGGAATTTAAAGGAAACAAGCAAGAGAAGAGGCAGGTTTCTCCCCTCCCTAATCCCTAACGTATAACTTGGTCTGCTCCAGAGTCCCTATGTTACTTTACCTGGTAGAAGAAAGCCACACAGACTTGGCATGTGTGAGGAGGTTAAGGTTGAGGTGTGGAGACCAGGAGATGGCCATGGGCTGCTTGTATGCATTCTTGCCGTCTTGTAAGTCCTTAACTAGAGAGCATTTCATAGCTGCATTTAGAGAGGTGTAAATGTGGGAGAGGTTCAGAGATATGTCATGCTTTGACTTTGAAAGATGAAGGGACCCCATGCCTTGGTGGACAGGTGGCCACTAGGTGTTGGATATGGATGGCAAAGTCCCCAGAAAGACGAACAGCCTTCCTGACTCCTTAACCTTAGTTTCCTGTCACCCTTGTCAGAGGTCAGAACTATAAGGGAACAAGCATCTTGTCTTAACCCCTAAATGCGTGGTCATGGAGACTAGGCTGTGCTCTGCTCACACTTCATACCGTGTCAAAGATTCTTCAGGCTGTGCCTTGCCCACGTGACTCATTTAATAAGCGACATTTGACTCCATTATGAGGGCAGATACAGAGACACCGCTGCCTGTCAATCACCACCCAGTAGGCACAGACAGGTCAAGAACTTACATCTGAAAGTACAGGAACCTCTTCTAAATTCATCAAAACATGTTAGGAACACGTGTGTGCATGGGTGTAGTAAAACCCCGCCAGAAAGACCAGGCCTTGGTGCCTAGTTTTTTCTTTTCCTACTCTATTGGCCATATTATTTAACATTTCAACCTAATTATAGCAATCTTATTAGGATTACAATCTGGCAGTTGTGTGATTCCTAGTTCTGGGTTTTGAGGATTGGTTTGATTATATGGTATTAATTTTCTAGCACACATAGCTATTTTAGTGAAAAGCTGGGGGATATTTCATTAGAATTAGGAAAATAAATTCCATATTAAATTTATAATTAGTGGGTTGGAGAGATGGATCAGAGGTTAAGAGAACGTTCTGCTTTTGCAGAGGGCCCAGGTTGGTTCCAAGCACCCACAGTTTGACTCATTACAGAATGAGAATGAGGACATGGCCACTCCTAGGTGTGGCTGATGAAAAGGTTTTTATTGTAGATATGAAAAGAGAACAGCCAGAGGCATCTGGAAGAGTCCAGACTGAACACCGCCAGCAGAATAGACTGGGCCATGAGAGGAGAGAGATGGACGAGAAGAGAGAGGGGGGGAAATGAGGGGACCAGGAGAGGGAGAAGAACCAAGAGAATGAGGATCAAGAGGAACCAAGAGAGCAGAGACGAACCAAGAAACCAAGAGAGGCTGTGGCCAAGATGGCTGGGTTAGACAGGAAAAAGGAGCTGGAGGAAGAAAAGTGGAGTTGGGGGGAGGGAGTTGGAGAGGTTTAGGGTAGGGGGCTGAGTGAGGAAAAGTGCTGAGAGGGGCCAGGACTCTACCAGGTACCCACAATGCTTAGAGAGCCTGCAACCAGCCAGTGTCTGCTTTGAGATGTTAATAGGCACCACAGCCATTTACCTGAGTTTCTTTGGGACCTAATTAATAGCCACTTGTCACTCCAGTTTCAGAGGATCTGACACCCTCTTCTGGCCTCTGTGGGCACTGCATGCATGGGGTGTATATACATGTGAACAAAACATTCATACACATAAAACAAATAGAAATCTAAAAAAATTATAATTAGTCTTCTATGTGTGTTTAATTAGTGAAACCTAATATTTTCTTTTTCTGACCTCACGCCTGTGTCACACCTGTAAAAGCATGTCCTTAGTGTTAGGAGAGAAAATATGTACAAATGCAGCTTCTACGTCAACTCAGATTTGGACCTTATCGATGTCCTACACACTATTGGTGACAAATGGCACAGCCATGATGAGTTAGCATCATGAGAGTGGGGAAAGGCAGACCGGTTCTCTGCGCATGGAGCCTGAGGTCAACACAGTTCAAAAGAAGCCCGCAGAGAGCTGTAAGCTAATTTAATATGGAAGATATTAGGAGCTGGAGCTACTGCCTGTCTAATATTTATTCCTGGGGGCCATGGCATTCTCTGCCGGAAGTTGAGTGGTGACGGCCTTGCTTGTGGTCTCCCTGTAATTAACGCTGAGACTCACTCCTTAACTTTCGTATCTGGGGATTCTGAATTCAAGTACGTGAGTAATGAGTGGAGATGACAGCACAGGGCTCAGGAGGCCTTAACTAAGGAGCTGAAGCCCCAGGCTGAAACAGTTTCACAACTGGGACCACCCTGAGGAAGCTCGGGAAGCCCATAGAGTCTCGAGGCTCCATTCATGGGCTGCTTAGAGACGGGGAGAGCAGTCTCATCCTTTATCTTTTTCCTTGTCTGCTGTTCAACCCTCTCAGTCAGATCACTTCAAATTCAGCACTTTCAATCCTGCAGCTCACCCCAGCTCCCAAGTCCTTATTTGAACTTCAATTTATCATTTAAAGTGGAAAGTTAATTTGAAATGATCTTAATTTCCATCTTAATAAGTTTTAAAATTGCAAGAGAAAGCCCAATGGTTGTGTTAGATCAGTAATAGTGATTTGCTGAGGGGAAACCTGAGAGCCAGGCACACCCAACCTAGTTCCACCCTTGCTGGTTTTGTCTAAGGAGAGCAGCATTGAAAAATGGAAGCCATACTACTGGTGTTATATTTAGGAAGTGGACTCCTGTGCCATGTGTTTAAGACTACTTCCTACTTTCTTTTCTACCAGGTTCAGTGTAGATGGATTTATGTTGAGATTTATGTTGAACCACTTGGACTTAAGTTTTGTGCATGGAGACGATATGGATCTATTTGCAGTGTTCCACATCCTGACATCCAGTTATGCCATCACCATTTGTTGAAGGTGCTTTCTTTTTTCCATTGTACAGTTTTGGGTTCTTTGTAAAAAATCAGGTGTTCATAGGTGCGTGGATTAATGTCAGGGTCTTCAGTTCGATTCCATTGGTCTACATGTCGGTTTTTATGCCAATACCAAACTGTGTTTTATTACTATAGCTCTATAGTAGAGCTTGAAGTCAGGGATGGTGATGCCTCCAGAAGTTGCTTTATTGTACAGGATTGTTTTAGCTATCCTGAGTTTTTTGTTTTTCCATATGAAGTTGAGTACTTTTCTTTCCAGGTCTGTGAAGAATTGTGTTGGGATTTTGATGGGGACTGCATTGAACATGAAGGAATGGGATGGTCAAGCTAGGGGAGGGATGGAGTGGGAGAGCAATGAAAGAGATATCTTGGTAGAGGGAGACATTATGGGGTGAGGGAGAAACCTGGTGCTAGGGAAATTCCCAGGAATCTACAAGGATGACCCCAGATTAGACTACTAGCAATAGTGGTAAGGGTATTTGAACTGGCCTACCCTGGTAAGCAGATTGGTAAATACCTTAACTGTCATCATAGAGCCTTCATCCAGTATTTGATGGAAGCAAATGCAGAAATCCACAAGCAAGCACCAGGCCAAGTTCCAGGAATCCAGTCGAAGAGAAGGAAGAGGAATTATATGAGCAAGGGAGAGAGAGGGAAGAGGGATTATATGAGCAAGGGAGGGTCAAGATCATAATGGGGAAATCCACAGAGACTACTGATCCAAGACAATAGGAACTCACGAACATTAGACTGACAGCTGTGGAACCTGCATGGGACCGGAATAGAATCTCTGCATACAGGAGAGAGATGTGTAGCTGGGTCTGTTTGAGGGGTCCCCTGCAGTGTGATCAGGATCTATTGCCAGTGCATGAGCTGGCTTTCTGAATCCCATTACCTATGGTCAGACACTTTACTCACTCCTGATGGAGCAGGGAGGGGCTTGGTCCTGCCTCAATTGAAGGTACCAGGCTTAGCTGTCACCACCCCCATGGGAGAATTTACCCTTTTGGAGAAAGGGATAAAGGGTGGGCCAGGAGGGGAAGGCAGGGGCAGGGGGAGCAGAAGGAGGGATGAGAGGGGGATCAGTGGTTGGTATGTAAAATGAATAAGAAAAATTAAAAAAAAAGAAAAGTGGAAGCCATAACACTGTCACTACTTGGGTCCCTTGACACAGATGTGTGCTGCATCAAATGACCAAACGAAAGAGTTCTTCCGACACCCAAGGAATACAGTAAGACAATTCCAACCCTGTTCTTATCACAGTTTTAAAAACCATGTCTTCTGAAATGCATGCCGACAAGCTTGTGTCGCGGTGGCGAGCGTCCTGCTGTGGCGGCGCTTGCCGGGTGTGCAGCCCTGACTTCTTGTCTGGCTTTTCTTCTCAGCAGTGGAGATGGGGCAGCAAAGACTGGACAGATATCCCAGCGGGAAGCCGAGAAACACAGAGGTTTATCAGCTGCCACTGCACATCACAGAAGGGGCTTAAGCCCAAACTGACATTTACTGGCTCATATAAAGGGAGCATTTTGGGGTAGGTATGTCTCCCTCCCCCCTGTGACATAAATGCTTTCCCATAAGGTCACTGCAAGCCCTCAGTAAAGTAGTCTCTGTTTCCTCCATAGCTCAAACTGCAAGTTCATCTCATCATCTTGACTTGGTCTAACTTGTTTTGGGAATGCCCGTTTTAGCCTAGAACTTCAGTGTATAGATGCACGCTGGGATGCTTTGGGTGAGAGCTCTGAATCCTGTTAACTTCAGGTGCAGTGGGGTCAGGGTGCTCAGGACACAACTCAACCCCCTCCCTATGCCCTCAGTGGCTCTATTCTGCTATCCTAACAGCAGAATTCAGATTCTTTTTTTTTTTTAACCATATTCTATGAAAAGACTGGAAATTGGTGTCCTGAATAAAATTTGTCACTGGAAATATACAATGTTTTCAGTAGCCACCTTTGAGTTTGGATGGGGTCAGTCATGAACTCCGTGACTGCAGAGCGGTGGCAGGGTGCGGTTCCTTTGGGACATCGTTAGGAGGTTTTCAGCAGAACAAGGAAACTTAGAATAAATGGCTGCTGTGTGCAGGGCAGAGGCCTCCTTGTGCCCTGAAAAAAAAATCATGTCATCATAGGAGTCAATTGCTTCTTCACCCACGTTGACAACGTATTTGTAAGAAAACCACCTTCTCCTTGAAGTTTACACTCACATCAGGTGATATACTCCATTAAAAAAACAGTCATGAACTTTATTCTCATAAACAAGCAATGTGCTCCAGTTAAAAATAATATGAGAAAGAGGGGAAGACAAAGGGGTCGAGATGGGATTCCTCAACAGCAGGCCGGCCCACATGTAGCCCCTCTGACACCGGAACTGATTCCTGTGTCACCTCCATTTATAGAGCTGGGACTGACTGTTAGGGGTCTGGGGGATCACATAGAAACTTGTTTCTTTGGATAAGTGAAGGGAAGATTGAGCCTGAAAAGGCCATTCCATTTGGTGAGGGGAACTGTCACTGATAATGGTCCAACTGAGTGAAGGTGAGAATGAATGGTAAACACACCTGGGAGGACCCAGGATGGTTCAGCAAATGGGCCATAAAGCTGGGTTAATGGGACGGTAAAGCTGCCTCTGGGGTGCCTTGCCCTTTGCCTAAGCCTTTGCTTGGCGACAGGGTCTACTAAGGAAAGCAGGCTGTGTGCTTTTATTAGTCTGCGGACTTCGGCTTATACCATTTCTTTATATTGACATTGACCTACAACGTTCTCATGGAGCCTTTCCCTTTTTATAAACATTTTCTCTGACTAAAATCAGACACCTTGTCTTTCCACCCTGGTGATTGCCTCTGACAGGCGTCCACCCACATCTTCTGAAGGCTGTGCAGAACTGAGCTTCTGTAGTGGGGCCTGCAGAGGGTAAGCTACTTCCCTCCCTGACCAGAAAGCCTACAACTGCCACAGATTCGTCTCGCTGCAGATGCATCCCATAAGCACCATGATGGTAGTCATTATCAATATGGCGAGCCCTGGGTGGGGGGTGTTGTCAAATAAGCCTAGACATCTGATATTTATCCATATTGTGTCTGAAAACAGTGAAATTTGTGCACATCTTTAAGATTTCTGCAAGTTTTGTAGCTTTGGATTTTTCTAGAAGACCCTGGGACCACACTGGTTCCTAACCTGTGACAGGCTTCCGAGAGTACCCATCTCACTGTGGTGACCTCCCCACGCCTTGCTCCTTAGAGGGTGTGTGTGGTGCATGTTGAGTTATGGCTGTTGCTGGGTGGGGACTGTTTCTAGTCTAACCCTCCATTAGCAACGCCATTCTAACTGCTTATGCTGCACACCCAGGTTCCTTGTGGTTGTGCAGATTGGGCCTACGGAAGCCTTTAGGACTAAGATGAGAAAATAGTCTCTGCTGGGGCCTGGGTAGATGGCTCAGGGAGAAGAGTATTGGCCTTCAGACACCAGGACCAGCGTTCAAAATTCAGAGGCCATGTAAAAAATCTAAGTATTGTGATGTATACCTTAAACACAGAGACAGGGGTCAGGCAGTCCTCCTGAGTTGGTGAGTTCTGGGTTCTAGAATACACCTTCTCTCAAAAAACAAGGTTAGAAAGCAACTGAGGAAGCTATTCCACATCAGCCTCGGTATCCACATGTACTCACACACATGTGTTCACACACATGTGCACACACACGAGTTGACTAAGGGCCTGGAGAGAGGGTGAAAATGTTTGCTGCTCTTCCAGAGGGCTCGCATTTGGTTCACAACACCCTGCAATCCCAGCTCCAGGAGGGCTGATGCTCTTTTCTAGTCTCCCCAGGCCCCTCACACACACAGCAGACACACACACACACACACACACACACACACACACACACACACACACACACACACACACACACAAAAATCAAATCTAAAAACATTTAAAATTAATTTTTAAAAAAAGAGAAAAATGTCCCTTCTGAGAAATTACCTTTCAGCTACTACCCACCAAGGAACAGAGTGCAGTATTTGGTAGCAGGGGCAGTCTCTGCCCCACCTCAGTGTGACATGGAACTCTGAAGCCCTGGTCCTCGTGGTGTGTGTACTTGACTGCTAAACTGAAGACAGCTGTGAAGATAGGACCTTTGTCTGGCTGAGGTGAAGCCTCCTCTTCTAATGTTCTTTTCGTACAGAGTTTTAGGAACAGCAGGGGGGAAATACTCAGGTCTTTAACTGTCTGGTGCTTTTAACTGACATCAACACCACCTCTCAATACATCTCACCCTCAGAGTGTTCCAGAGTTGAGAAGCAGCGATGGTCTAGCCCACCTGTGCGACTGACCCATATGTGGAGAGGGTGCCTTTCTTCTTCAGTGCCCTGGAAGCCCTCCTGGATTCCAGCTAGTTGCTGTGGGCTGCAGATTCAGGTTAATTACTTTCATAAGTGAAACTAGAGTTATAAGTCTTGAAAACTGAAAATGCCTCTGGAAGGAGGTTTACGTTTTCTAGAAGCCTCACGATGATTTTCTTAGCCCACTCCTGTGGCCACCTCGATGGAGGCCCGAGCAGAGCACCTGAGAGCGGTCAGCTCCTGGGACCCTCATCACCATCGTGGGAGGTCCTGGGCTTTCCTCCATCTTTAGAAGTCGAGGCTCAGAGTTGTATGTGGGAGACTTGCAGGAAGCATGGCACCCCACAGTCTAAATCACAGTGATTTGGGTCCCTTTGCCGATGTTTATCACATTATTTTTACCTTCGTTCTCAGCCTATGAAGAAGCTTGCATCAGCTCATCATCTACGAAGGCATCTCTGGACGGTCCTGGACCCCCGCACTTCTCTGCATTCATTATTCCTTGTCAGTGAGTACAGCTCCAGCACAGTATAAACATCTTCATTATTTTTGCACCTTTCTTTTTATTTACATCATTAATAAGGTGTTGTTTTTGTTTCTTAGCTTATCATTCTCTGTGAGTATCATACAATTTACTTGTAATTAACGCAATTATCTGAACATCGTGGGTTAAATTCTGCTGTGTCCCTCGCACGGATGCTGTCTCTTCCCAGCTCTTAGATCTGTCAGTTCCCTCTGCACTTGTGTTAATCATCACCATTTCAGTTTTTAAAAATCCTTAAATTGGAATTTAATCTTTCCTAGTCTTAATAGCTCCTCTAAAATATGTGGCATTTAAATTATTAAATCCAAAATTATTCAATCCATTTTTCTTAAAGATGACTTGTGGAAGGTTCTAGATGGCCCCTTCTCGTCTCTTCCCAATGCTGAGGTGGAACCCTTGACTGTAGATTCTGCTCTTTTATCACCTGTGCTTTTCATTGCTGCAAACAGAAAACCCAAGATCCTAGCAACTGGCTGAACCTCAACACTTGTTTTTCTCACGTTCTAGGCCAGGTAGGGTCCTCAGTAAACAGGAACCACCTCTGAAATCTCCCCAAATTACGAGAATAAATCCATTACTTTGTGGATCAAAAAGTTCAAAATCTCGTATTTGATTCTCTGCAGTAGGAGTTCATCATCCCAGCTGTTGTTTTTGTTTGAGTAAAATCTGAACTATATTAAAAACTACCTACTGCTGTGTGGCCAGTTTGCTTTTTTCCCATCTTGAAAGGTCCTAGTGGGGACTGTGGCAGATGCGTTGCTGGGACTCCTGGGGGTCCAGCTGCTTCCTGAGACACTCAGCTTGGGGGCCAGCGCCTCTGGGTTATGCACTTTTGAAATGGTCCTGCTGAAGTGCATGTTTTGACTTTGGGGTTTCCAGATGTTGCAAAGCAGATCCCATGTGCTCACAGTTGTGGGATCCAGCATTCTTCTTAAAGTGAGGCCCAGAGCAGTCACAAGTTTTGAGAGGCTTGCTTTGAGTGGACAGGGCAACTCAGCATTGGATTGCATTTCACCCTATTGTTTGAATATTATATGTTTAATTTAGTCATTGTCTACTCTTTGTTTTTATAAGAGACATTTTAACATCCTGAGCCATTTTTAATTTCATATGTAACTATACCCTGTGACTATTAAAATGAGGAAACATAAAAGCACATAAATGGATTGTGTGTGGACTTCTGGCAGGTGGCCATCCTAATGCTAGCACATTGTAGTGGTTTTAAATCTCAGATTCAGAGCATCATACAACATGAATATATTGGGTAGAGCTTTCGAAGCCATGTCTGTGGGCTTTGTCGCTTTTCCGATGAGGAATCTAAGCCTGAGAGTGTAAGTGGGTGACAGCCCAGTGATTTCCAGAATCCAAGTTTTATTTCTGATACAATGTCCAGAAGCATATACCATCTTTTTGCATGTGTGTGGTGTAGATGTGTGTGTGTGTATGTGTGTGTGTGTGTGTGTGTGTGTGTGTGTGTGTGTGTGTGTGTGTGTAAGCATGTGGAGATCAGAGGTTGAAGTCAGGTGTCTTTCTCTACTGCTCCTCTTACTCATTGAGGCAGAGCCCTCAAGTGTCTATGCTGGACCTAGGATCAGAACTTCCATCCTCACGCCTATGTAACAAGTACTTTATGTGCTCGGCTATCTCCTCAGCCCACCTGATGATTTTGTGTATCATTGTAACTATGTTGACAGGAGTGAAGTTATTCTAAAGAGAGACATGCTTGCCTCTCCCTTGGGCTTTCAGTTTATTAAGACAGTGGTCTCCAAGGGGTTGGAATTTCAGGTGTCTCATGTAGAGACAGAAGAGAAAAGATTGGGTTACTGGTGCTGGTCAGAGGAAGACCTCGTTCCAGGAAGAGATTTCACCCAGTGTTGACAGTTTGTCAGAGCACCCTGCAGGGGAATCACGCCCAGACAATAATGATGGTGGGGCCAGACCCTGACCAGGACTGCTAAGCTAGGCACACCTCTTACTCTCTATTTAAGCCTAAGTCTCATGTTAGGGTCGCTAAGATGGCCTTGTGGGAGTCAGTGAACCTCCTGATTCCTCTTCTCAGGAATCAGGCCACATTGAATAAAGCTTTTCCTTCTTCCTTTATTACGTTACTGTCCAACTGGCCTACTGAAGACAGGTGTCTGAACCTGGTTCTTTAGGGCTGGAGGGTCCAGCTCTGATTCTAACAACTACAGTGCACAGTGGTTTGATATTGAACTTTAATCATACAACAGCAATGTTGAGCTAAATGCAAAATTTTCGTCTTTGCAGAAGTGACTCTTGATGCCGGAGAATCTGGTGTTGGTGAGAAGTCACTGGTCAGACACTGTGACAGGCGCTAGAGAGCTAAAAGTAAGAAATATGTGTTCATGAGTCTGCAGTGAGCATCAACAATAAAAGTAAGTGGGAAATTCCAGGTATTGTAAATACACATGTGACTTCCCAGCTTCTGGCAGAGCTGCTGAACCTGGGCTGAACTTCCTCTCCACAGAGCAGCCGGGGCCATATCTCTCCCCAGGGTGCAAATGTGTTTTATTCCCCATTGTGGAAAGATCAGTGAATATGTCTGAGGCAGGTGAGCCAGACTATAGGAATGCCGTTGACCGGGACAAGAATTTGTGTCTCTGTCTATACTCAGGTAACAGAGTCATGGAGATGTTCATAGGATCCATGGTGTCTTTTGGTAAGGAATGGGCCTGGCTTAGGGAAGCTTTGACAGGAGGCTGCCCCCAAGCAAATGGGAGCAGCTGGTTGCTCATTCTAGGTAGGGTTGTCCAATGCTAGCCTCTCTGGGCCACACAGGATGAAGAAGAAATGTCTTCGGCCATAAGTGAAATCCAGGATTTTCTAGTCTGTGGCCTGTGGGTTGTGAAAGCATACATATGTTTACTTCGTGTGACACTGTGACTTGATACTGCCATCAACAGAGTCCATATTCGAGGGCCTTATAATTGAGCTAAAAAACAATCATGGAGCTTGGGAAATGGTTTAGTCCATAAAGTGCTTGCCACACAGGCATGAAAGATTGGAGTTCTATCTCTGGCACCCTCACTGAAAAAAATGTGTGTAATGGAGGACTCCTATAATCCTAGTGCTGGGAAGATGGAGGACTCCCATAATCCCAGTTCTGGGAAGATGGAGGACTCCCATAATCCCAGTGCTTGGAAAATGGAGGACTCCCATAATACCAGTGCTGAGAAGATGGAGATAGAAGGACCCCTAGGCCCCACTGGTGAGCTAGACTTGCTGAATTGTAAGCTTCTGTTTCAGTGAGATACCCTGTCTCAAAAAAGTGAGGCAGAGAGCAATTGAGGAAGGTATCACTGACATCTGGCCTTCACATGGATGTTCACATGCACAAACATGTATACACATAACACACACACACACACACACACACACACACACACACACACACACACACACATATATTTGATTTTCGAGACAGGGTTTCTTTGTGTAGCTTTGGAGCCTGTCCTGGAACTCACTCTGTAGACCAGGCTAGCCTCAAATTCACAGAGATCCGCCTGGCTCTGCCTCTTGAGTGTTGGGATTAAAGGCGTGCACCACGACTGCCCGGCCTCTCAAAATAGTTTAAGTAAGTTTATGAGTTCGTGTTGTATGCATGCATAGCTGGGCCATATGTGGCCTATAAGCTGCAGGTTGAGTATCCTTTAAGGGAATTTCCCTGGAGACAGAAATGGGCAGATTTGAGAGATACTCAAGCACTGTATTAAAAAGACAAGGATAGAGGAATATCACAATTGTCATAGATAGTAAATGGGTCTGCAGGTCTTCCAGGGAGAAGGACCTTTCTTTGCTCTATTAAATGTAAACCAGCCTTGTGACCAGCTGTAGTCAAAGGGACAGCAACAGATTAAGGCTTCAGGGGTGTCTGCATGCTGGAGAATCTTCTAATGAGCTGACATCACAGATGAACCACCAGCTAGCCTGTGAGAAGTGGAGGCTTATGGAGGTAAAACACTTCCCTGCCCTCCTCCCACCCCCTCTTCAACTTATCTGTGCCCTTGGATCTAGTCCTTTTCATGTATTCTTAGTTGATGTTTAATAAATCAAAGACGAACATCAATGATTATAAATGTGGAAAATACTTTCAAAATACGAGCAACATCTATGCCAAACCTTTAGATGAGGATTTCATTGTTGGAAAACTTTGGCATGCGTATCCTTGAGGTCCAAGACCTGCTCCTCTTAATTGAAACAGCTGCTTATAAATTTCTGCACTGTAATAAAACTTCTTGTCACAATAGAAACACCTGCAGACAAAATTGTGTTTCCTGTAATTCAGTGCATGAAAACGCTTTGGGTTTGTATTTGCTGTGGAGTCAATTTTGGACCTAGGCACAGCAAAGAGAGAGAGAGAGCACTGTCTTCTTATCCAGACTCCATGCAGAGAGGAAATTGATAGAGCAGCTGCAGAATCTCTTAGACTATCAAGTGGTTTATAGTAATATGACACAGAGTTAAGCAAGAGACAATATCAGACACAGAAGTGAGAGTTGATCTTAAAAGATGTGGTGATGGCCTTTCTGGGAAGGACAACTGTCTTCATGGCACATGATGCTAAGACCTCATCAGATCTCTACTTCTTTTGTGGCACACTATTTCCTGGCCATTTAAAGGGTGAGTTTAGAAAGAGAACCAGGCCTCAGATTTGCTCAACTTCACAAATATCCTATAACCTTGAGTTAGACCTGTAGATATCCTGTTAAAATCTATCTTATGAATCTATCATAGATATTCTTTATGGGGAAAAATGCCAGTAAGAATTATTTAGTCATGCTGGTGTTGCTCAAAAATGAAAGATACACTCAGTGTTATTAGCTCCCAGCTGCGGAGCCCTTGGGTGAGGGCTGTGTGTGTCTATAGTCTGTGCTTCTGCTAAGAGGCTGAGAGATGGAGCTTTTGAATGAGAACGGGTGAATTCACGTCTCTGCTCTGTACAC